GGAGGTGATTAGATTGGGCGGGGGTGGGGGGACACCTGCAATAATGTCAACATTAAATTTTTTAATAAAAAAAGAGAGAGATGGTTAAGTCACTTTTACCTTAATTCTTCAAATAGTGTTTTAAAAATTGCACTTGAGTTAATAATAATTTCAATTTTTGAAATGGTTTAATGCCACTCCCTCATCTATACTTTTATTAAGCTATACCATGTCTTATTACTTTCCTACCATTCATCCCACTTCATTCACCCTGGTTTCTAGCAATGCTGGACAGCGCCAACCTTGCCCTTGTCTCAGTTCCTATGTATTTGCTGTTTCCTCTGCATAAAATATACCCACACTCATTTCAGATTGCTGGTTAAATGTTACCTACTCGGGGAGGCTGTAGAGACCTGCCATGAACTATTTTATAAAGCAGTCACTCCCATCCCATGGATTTTCTTTTTCCCTAAGCCTGCTGTATTCTTCATAGTTATCATCAACATTCAACTCGAGGATTTTTACTCATCTATTCCCCTCAATTTGAGTGGAAAGTCCCTTTGAGCATTAGCTTAATCTGGTTTTTCACTAGAAATAAAGCTTTGAGCTTTGATTTTAAAATAATTTTAATGAGCATTGAAAGAACTCCAGAAAGTCCAAACTATATGGATAGAAGCTGAAAAAACACTATATGCTTCAAGGGGAGACTATTACCAATATTCACTTGATAATGACCCCAACTCCTTGCAGGAAATTAGTAGCCTCAGTAAACTTTCCACCCTAACATTGAATAGTTCTTCCTCTTTTGAAATTCTCCAAACTGTTTCCCTGCCCACTTGCAGCCAACCAGTGACTGACAAAGGTACCTGAAGACCAGTTAGAACATCTCTCCCACTTCCAGAAAACGTATCTTAATAAAATGCTTGCCAATCACACAGTGACTCAGTACTTATTCATGTTACTAAACAAGCTTACTCTCTTTTCTAACACATTGGAACTCCACTGAAAGGAAAGGGACTGAAGATGGTTGCTTTGTTGCAGGTTTACGAACAAACAATCGTTAAGTTTGTTTGGGACATGGCTTTGCATTTGATATGCTTCAGAAGTGATGATGAAGAGTAATGAGTAAGGGAAAAAAGTATTCAAGTGGTTGGAACAAGGGCTCAAGGAGAACAGTGGAAAACTGAGTTATTCCCAGAGGGGAAAAAATCAGGTTTCATAAAGAAATATCTCCCATCATCAGGTTTGATGGGTCTGGAATCAACACAAACATCCCTCCACTGGGACATGGATAAACAATCTGTAGTGTCCATGTAAGGAAATATCATCCAGCAATTAAAAATATTACACTAATGATATATTATGGGTTGAATTGTGTTCCCCAAAATTCATATGTTGAAGTCCTTGCCCCAGTAACTCAGAATGTGATATTGTTTGAAAATGGGGTCTCTACAGATCTAATTAGTTAGAATGAGGTCCTACTAGAGCAGAGTGGGTTGCTAGGTCAGTATGACTGGTGTCCATATAAAAAGAGGAAATTTGGAGAAAGACACACACAGGGAGAACAGCATGTGAGAGTGGGCAAAGAGATCAAGATGCAGCAGAAGTCAAGGAACAACTAAGATTGCCAGCAAACCACCCAGCAACCAAGAGAAAAACATGAAACTGATTCTCCCTTTAGAGCTGTTAGAAAGAAGCTGCAGAACCAACCCTGCCAGCATCTTGACCTCAGAAATGCTAAACAGCAAATTTCTGTTGTTTATGTCATACAGTTTGCGGTACTTTTTTATGGCAGCTCTAGGAAATTAATATAGGAAACAATATAGATGGATCTCAAATGCACCATGCTAACTGAAGGAAGCCAGAGCCAAAGGCTACATGTACTAGAATTCTATTTAAACGACATTCTTGCAAAGGCAAAACAATATGGACATGAAATAGGTCAGTGGTTGCCATAGGTATTGGGCAGGAAAAAAGTTGACCACAGAGAAGTTCAGAGCTTTTTCTTAGATATTGAAACTCTTCCACATCGTGATTGCGTTTGTGGTTATGTGACCATACAAATGTGACCAAACTGTTGGAACTCTACACTAAAAACTGTGTATATTACTGTTTGTAAATTATACCTTATTTAGAAAGTAAAGAAAAAAGAAATAACAACAAGTAATACAAAAACATGTGTGTACTCTCAACATATCCCACAGTTCCTGCAGGCAATTTAATTGTTTCTTCCTTAGGAAAGTGGGATGAGAGCTATACATGCCTCATGGGGCACATCTCCAGACAGTTTTCTGTCTCTACAACTCCCTCTTGATTCCCATGAACTAGCCTCTAAAATCTCAATTATTTTAGTGTGACATCATTTTTGAAGAATCAGGCTGTGTTGTGTCCCTTTGGCTATCAATTATTTATCTGAATGTTCATCGTCATTGTCAGCACATGCAGTACTTTCCTCCCACCCCCCAATCCTGACTTTAGGGCTGGGCATAAACTCCCAGCGATGGCGAGGGAAAACGCTCCCAGATGAAAACTGATTGATTGACTTTAAAGTGATAATCCCTCTCGGCAAAGTGTTTTATAGAAGTTCTCTCGTTTGCTATTTGCAGACACAATTCCTTGAATTATGTGGGAGAGGTCGTTTTATTCTTTATTTCACAGATAAGGAGAGGATAGGAGAGTCCTCCAAGGGTGCACAAAAAGTGAATGGTGGAGTCAGGACTCGAGCGCGCCAGCTCCTGGCTCCGTGTTGTGCTCTTCCTCTCATCTCTACCTGCACTAGAGACCTGAGAAAATTTGGGCCTAAGAACATCTCCAGCCTTATGGATTCATTATTCCATGATGAATGCCCGATTTGGGGCTCACTTTTCGGGACTGGTTGCTCTTTCCTTTCCAACAGCAAGGCAAGCTTCTACATTCCACGTACACTTTTAACGAGAAGTGCAATTTGTGCAAAACCAATGGGGCAGCTACACCTAGGATGAGGTATTTAAGCACAGAAATCGATTTTTTAATATTTTGCTAAAGCAGTGAGTTGAGGCTTGACATAAGTAGTAAAACTTCCATCAGTGGAGGGTTTAATGATATTTCTGAAACTATCATGCTGCTCTCTTAAAAGAAATTAGTAAAAAAAAAAAAAAAGAGTAATGACTCTCTGATTGAGTAGGTGTTAATTCCATGTTATTCATTGTCTGCTGCTTTCTCATGGAAGGTTAGGAAAAAAGAGGAGCCTGAAATAACTTTCTCGAATCAGCAAGATTTATACTGTAACCTTTCCCCCGCAATCTCTCTCTGATTATTACCAGCACATCTATAAATGCTGACAGGGAGGTGGCTTTTGATTTGATCAGAGCTGGGTTTAAATCTTAAATGCTAAATTCTTCTCATACTAGCTGCTTGTTTTTCTCATACTAGCTGTTAATTGTAGAGCTTTACATCATCTCTCAAATCCTCAGTTCTCTCAATGGTAAATGGGGAAAATACTATCTACCTTACATGTTATTGTGAGGATTAAATGAAAAAATATGTATGTATATGTGCATATAGGTCTTATTATTGATTGTAGAACTCAGTATATTTTACACGTGGTTGTGATTATCAAACACTGGCAAATGAAACAACTTCATGGGCTGAGCATGGAAAGTGAATTTGTGACAGGATTAAGGACAACAGTAAAACAATGATTCACAGATGAGAGATGCCATTCTAACAGCTTCAAAGTCAAATAAAAAGATAAATAGCACTGTTCTTACACAAGAACAGATTCAAATGAAGATTTTTATAACATGTAACTGGCCAGCAAAATAGTTCTGCAGCTGACAAACTGGGAAATGTGACCCCACCGATCTTTGTGATTCGGCTACGGGATAACAGTAATGAGAGAAGGAACTAGTTTAAGAAAGGAGACTCCCTGCAACCCAAGCTAACGCACGAATTTTAAGGAAGAAATTAAGGGGAAATTGGCCTCCATGAGATGGTTGGAGCGGCCATTCATGAAGACGGAGGGAGCAGGCTGAGAAACACTGGAGACGCGGAAAATCTCAGGGGGCCAAGCGTGTGAGACAAGCCAACTGAAGAGGCCGTCAGGACCACAA